CAATTCTCTTCTGCTGTGGAGTAGGTCCAAGGATGTGTTAGAAAACAAATTCGGATACTCCATAGAATGAAACAGGAAGGGTATGGAAACTACGAATTGTGGGATAGATAAGGCTTGTTGTACCAATATGGCGCCCGGGGAGGGCGGCGGAAATTACGTGCTCCAGAACTCGGGGGACTGTGCGTCCGGACGGCCGTGGACAATAAGAAGGAAAGTGCGTATGGACACGGACTATATTGTTGTTTTATTTTTAATGGTATATGCACTTGGTAAAGTTCCGATTGTCTTTCTTCAGCCTATTTTATCTACAGATCACCTTCTAATACCACACATTCAATTTGGATGCGTTAAAATGAGACTTAAACAAGTACTTTTTTTAGATACGTAGCTGCATTTGTTAGAACTTCGTTACAACTCAAAGGACCCTACTTACACAGAAAATTCGGCCTTACCGATCGTGAAAATGACTTGGCAATGTTGACATTATGTCTAACTGCCCACTTTCCAAAGGACAGAAGTGTATTGGTTTCAACATTCCCAGCAATTTGATCAGCTGGTGTAGATATCACCAAAGTTTCATGTATAAGTAGTACATATATTTCTACAATATATGAGGGAATACTGAGCCTATCCATGCTTGTGATCAGAACACCTGCAAATCTGGCTAACATTTGGGTAGCCATTTTGTTCACACTAGGCCACTTTCAATGAATGAACAAGTATTGAAAACTATAACTAATATTTAAAAAAATAACTGTGACTCAAAAGTACTTATATGTCCCTGTCACACTGGGGGGGGGGGTATCAAGTTCATGCATGGTTTTAACAAAGAAATATAGACTTTGAAAGTTGACCAAAATAATGGCAGCCATATTGGTCACACCCAGCAACTTTATCTAATCCACGAGGGAATGTCAAAACAATACATTCATGTCGTGTATAGTGTGTGTAGGATTGGACAGCAACATTCGTTATACAGTCCTTAAACATTTAACCCTCAACAGAACACCTTCCCGGACTGATTATTCTGTACACCTGGGGTCCGCGCGGACCCCAGAACAGTTTTTGCTAATTTTTAGAAATTATCAACATGCTACCAGCTCAATTGTTTTGCAAACTGATGTGGGAACCTCTGTGTCCACATTACATACAAAAATCATACATTTTGAACTTTTTCTATTTTTTGGTGAAGAAAAAAAGACAAGAAGAAATACCCGATTTTTAAACCCATTTCAGACTGAAGGGGCTTTTGAGGCCCAACTTTGATCTCAGATAGCGGCTAAACGGCTTGCGCTAGAAGTATCAAATTTGGAGACCTTTCCTGAAATGTCTCTGGAAAAAAGTTCATATTAGTTTAATACTAGTAAGTTGATGTTTTTTTGTGTTGCCATGGCAACGGGT